TGAGACGCAAATCATTATTTGGATAATATAGTGCATGAGAGTATTGGATATAGTATGGCGGGTTTTCGTTGTGATTCTTTTGATATGCTTTGCTCTATTATTACACCGATCGTCTATTCCGTCATCGCACCGGGATTTCTGGAGATGCTACCCTCTACCTGCGGACTCTCCGGATTCGGTGGACATATTCCGTATTTCATGCGTGACTTTCGCGCACACTAACTTGGTCTTCAATCTCCGGGCTTTCCCTTCTTTCAATGCACCGCATCACAGTTTTACCCCGGTACTCACAGCGTTACCGCTCAGCGGACTCGCTATTTCTTTCTCTGACAAAAATAACAGTTTGTGTCTATATTTGTGCTTTATGTAGTGTTGCTTGCCTGTATGTGCAGTTATGCTTTCGTGTGAGGTGAAGTTTGATTATCATGTACGTCCTTTCTGTATCCTCTTTGATAGTAATCAGTCGAACAAATATATGGTGGACAAAGGCAATTATACCTCACATATCTGTAGACCGATAGTGTTATATAAGGCTTTCGAACTTGCGCTCTGCTCTCGACAGGAAGACGCTCTTATAATGAGCATTAGATAGCGTTGCATTGAAAAACACACGCAACAAAAAAGATCAGATTAATCAATCGAGCGGATTGAGAATGACGGGCTGGGCGCTTTAATTGCCCATGACTCGCAGACGGAGGGCCGCGCTGTGCCATGCCGCGGCACGGGTTTGGATTCTACTCGGAGTGTCGCACCGCGAGGAGATGGACCGAGCAGTAGAGGAAGCGGGAGCAGAGAGGAAGGTGACAATGTGATGTCTCATAACCGAGAAGACTCTCAGATTTATATCTCGTTCTAATAATCATCAGGTTACCGAGCCTAGAGAGACAGTATACTTTTAGTTTACAGAACATTTATGCAATCATGAGTCTCATCTCTTTTTTCGTCGGTCATATCTTTTTTTTCGACTATATTATCATTTATCTGCATTCCACTCCTGTTCTCCAACGAAAACGGCTAGGTATCGGACCTATGCACTGTGCAATTTTTACATAGTCATAGACATATCAAATTTCTCGTTACAAATACTTTCTTAATGTTATTTATCTCGAAAATTCTCATAAATTGAGTGAAATTGGGATAATATATAATATCATGTGTAGCATATCACAGAGAGTCGGTGCTCACCCTATTTGTGATCTATCTTTTTCTAAGCTAGTATAGTGAATCGTTGTAAATTTCTAAAGAAAGGGAATCCGCTGCACGATATACAATAAATTAAAAAAGACGTAAAGTGTGTTCAGATAAGAAGTGTGATTATAGTATAGAATTGGGATAGAGAAATCAAATGTAGGAAACTACTCGTACAGTACAATGTATAATAACAAATCACAGATATTATAAGTGCCACAACGAGTAGTTTATATATTCATAACTACACACTGACAACGCTATACAGCGAGAGTGCTCTCTACCTTTTACACTCTATCCGCACGAACACAACTACTACACTAGTAACCGGCACTACAGCCACACTATCATGAGCTCATGCAGTCAATACACTTACACCTAACAAACCACGCACATACAAACAAACCCTTAACAGTAACACACACACACACACTAATCACCCATACACCTTACAACACACATACACTATCACAAAGCTCAACACTCACATATTTTAAAATATTATTTATTACATGATACTTATCTGTAAATCAACTACAGTTACATACAAGGCATATCATAATTTTAGTTAATTTATCATATCTATTAAATAATTATATGGACATACATGCAAACATATACAACTACATTATTAACTGAGCGGCATGATACATATATATATATATTTATAATTATAATATGTATTAATTATATATACATATATTAAATGTGTGTATATTAATATATATATATATATATATATATATTATATATATTATAATTATATATATATATTATTTATTAACGTTTGGATATGTTAATTATGTATACTATACACATATAATATATGTTAATATATATTAACATATAATAATGTGTATATATTATATATTATAGTATATAATTATTTAATATTATATAATTAATATATTATTATATAAATATATATATATTAGTTATATATATATATTAATAATATTATGTTATATGGATATATTTATATGTTATATTATATATGTAATATATTATATTATGTTTATAATTATGTTAATATATTTATGTATTAGATATATAATGTATATTATATATATATTAGTATTAATATATATATATTAATTAATGTATATTTATATATATATATATATATATATTTATAATGTATATATTGTTATAATTATATAGTTTAAATTAGTGACACAATTATTATACACTCTAACGTCACACGAGCTACTACACACACACAATACACATCATACATCACTCAACAACACACACCAACACACATCCACACACACCACATCATAATTCAGCACATACTCAACACTACATCACTACGACACACATCAACACTAATAACTAGCACACACACACACACACATCACACAACATAATTAACACACATACACATACATACACAACACATACACACTACACATTACTAACACACCACAACACACAACACACACACACACACTCACACACTAACCACACACATACACATAATATATATATATATATATATATATATATTATTATATATATATATATTATATTACTAATATTAATACAATATATTAGACATATGCTCAATGATGAATGCACCTCGGACACTGTATTATCTCCGTTTAGACCAATCACTAATTTAACAATAAATACAGACTACTACATACACTGACAATACTAGCTACACATCCTACAACATACACACATAATATATTATATGGTATTACATATACATGTGTATGTGTTATTTAAGTGTGTGTAGTGTGTTTAATATAATATATATATATATATTAATATATTGTATGTATATGTCATATATATATTACTATATATATGTATTATATGATATATATGTATATAATATAATGAATATATACTATTATATATATATTATATACTTGTATATATATAGATATATATATCTATATATGTGTGTGGTGTGTGGTGTGTGTGGTGTTGTGTGTGTGTGTGTGTGTCGTGTGTGTGTGTGTGTGTTGGTGTGTGTGGTGTGTGTGTGTTGTATGTATGTTATGTAGTGTATGTATGTATGTATGTATGTATGTATGTATTGTATTGTATGTACACACACACACAGCACACACACACACACAAAACACCACACACATTATATATATATACATATGTATAATATATATATATATATATATATATTATATATATATATATATATATATATATATATATATATAAATATATATATATACAGCACCAACACCACACAACACCACATCACCACACACACACACAAACCACACACACACACACACCACACACACTACACAACACACACACACCACACACACAATATATATATTACTATATATTATATATATTATTAACATAATATATAGTCTATATAATATATAAATATTATGATATATATATATATATATATTATATATATATATATATATATATAAATATACACTCCTGGTTGTGAGTGTGTGCTCGTACGTGTGTGCGTCCGAATGTGTGTCCGGGCTAACTCGGCTTCTTCCAACACGCACATGACGCCGGTGATCATCATCCGAGCTGGATCTCCACAGAACATTTCAAAAAAACTCAAAACGAATGGTTTTCAATCACTTGAAGCTGGTTGTATTCCTTCGTCAGTTTATTGACAAGTTCTTGGACGTTCTTGCCGATTTGGTTTTGACTAAGTATGGAGGTATCATATTCTGCACTGTTTTTCTTTAGTTTTCTTCAGCTCTTCTTTCTCTTGTAGTAGTCATATATGGACATGGTCCGTCTACTGCGTCTTCGTCTCTTTTGTATCGTTGGAAGTATTTGATGATTCGTTTAAAAATGGCGTGGCCAAGACCAAAATACGAAAGCCGTTCAATACCGTATCTGATAAGATAGAGTATCCATCTCTTGATATCTCTAACAAGTACCGTAGTCGCTTCAGCTGCGGCTCTGGCACAAAGGTAACTCCCAGCAATAGGCGAGATTGTGCGCTCTTATGTTGTCTTATTGGTTGGTGTCGGAGTATGTGATGTGCCAGTGTCACCATGATCTGTAATGGTGAAGTTTGGTGTTCGTCCGGAGAGTCTTCTTGGTTGTGGTTTTTCTCTGATGACGAAGGTGTACCATGTTGCACTTTCCACTTGTTTATCAATCTCACTCTCTTCCAGTCGCCTTCCGTCCATTTCGTCCGGTCCGTCGGGAGTCCCTTCAATAAAGTCGGGTTGTGTTCCGCTACTATTGCTCTCTCCTCCATTGGTAGGTTCCAGTCGATTTCCATTGCTTCCATGATCGCTTTCTTGATCTCCTCCGCCGTTTCCTCCGCTTGTCTCTTTTGTGGTGTTGGAGTTTCTGGTTCTTTTATTTCTATGTGGTGTATCCAGATTTTCGTCATCTGATCCAGAGGAATCTGATGTGTCACTGATGTAAGTAATTCCTCTCTGTCTCTTTTGACCCCTGTCATCACTGTTTCCAACACTTCCAAGGGAGTTTTCTGATTCACTTCCAAGTTGAATTGTTCCGTTTCCTGTTCCCTCTCGAATTCCCAGGTTATCCATGCAGACCTTAGGATCAGTTTGTTCTGGTGTTGAAGTTCTTGGAGGAGTTTGAGAGTTGTCTTCCTCGTCTGAAAACTGGAACAGTTCTTGAGACATATTAAGAAGTTGTTCGGTAGTGGGTCTAGGCTCTTGATTTGGACCTGGGGTGAGAAGGCTTGGAGAAATTCCCTGGCTGGAGTCAGTTTCGTTCGTGCGTTCTCGAAGCAATTCACTAAGTGATTCTGGTTCGCCCTGACGTGAATGCAGTATGTCCTTGGCCATATTTTCTGTCCATTCTTCGTCGTCGGGATGACAGTGTTGACACTGTCCGTTGACATTGAGATTGTCTATGAAACACTCGTTGCAGAGGCAGTAGAGAACGGGTCTGTTCCCTATGAAGCACCACGGTAGAATGTGATCTGGACAGTAGCGTAGTGATATTTGTTGGGGTATGTCGTCTGAAAGACAGAGAAAGATTTATATGAGTGACGGACGAAAGCGGTTACGTCTTTTGTAAGTGACGACAAAGTTCGTCACTTGCGTCAATTAGAAAATTTATGGATAGTCACTTAGTCAGTCATTTGTACTTACATTTGTATCCTTGGGTTTGTCTTTCTCTGAAGACGTTTTCAAAGACTTCTGTTGGTTCACTGTCACTTGAAGATCCAAATAATGACGGACTAGGTATCGACTGCCAGGGGTGGTTATTCGTATCTTCCATGTTCCAAAATTGTCCTTAGTCACTTGGAATAGCCTCTTCACTCGTCAGTTAGAGACTGGGAGACCGGTGAGTCCGTCATCTCTTATATAGGACCTATGACGTCATAGGTTGTAACGGTTTCCAATAAAGATGGGTTGTTTCCGCTACTATTGCTCTCTCCTCCTGTAGGTTCCAGTCCGATTTCCATTGCTTCCATGATCGCTTTCTTGATCTCCTCCGCCGTTTCCTCCGCTTGTCTCTTTTGTGGTGTTGGAGTTTCTGGTTCTTTTATTTCTATGTGGTGTATCCAGATTTTCGTCATCTGATCCAGAGGAATCTGATGTGTCACTGATGTAAGTAATTCCTCTCTGTCTCTTTTTGACCCCATGTCATCACTGTTTCCAACACTTCCAAGGGAGTTTTCTGATTGACTTCCAAGTTGAACAGGAAACGGAACAATTCAACTTGGAAGTCAATCAGAAAACTCCCTTGGAAGTGTTGGAAACAGTGATGACAGGGGTCAAAAGAGACAGAGAGGAATTACTTACATCAGTGACACATCAGATTCCTCTGGATCAGATGACGAAAATCTGGATACACCACATAGAAATAAAAGAACCAGAAACTCCAACACCACAAAAGAGACAAGCGGAGGAAACGGCGGAGGAGATCAAGAAAGCGATCATGGAAGCAATGGAAATCGACTGGAACCTACCAATGGAGGAGAGAGCAATAGTAGCGGAACACAACCCGACTTTATTGAAGGGACTCCCGACGGACCGGACGAAATGGACGGAAGGCGACTGGAAGAGAGTGAGATTGATAAACAAGTGGAAAGTGCAACATGGTACACCTTCGTCATCAGAGAAAAACCACAACCAAGAAGACTCTCCGGACGAACACCAAACTTCACCATTACAGATCATGGTGACCACTGGCACATCACATACTCCGGACACCCAACCAATAAGACCAGACATAGAGCTACAATCCTCGCCTATCTGGGAGTTACCTTTGCTGCCAGAGCCGAAGCTGAAGCGACTACGGTACTTGTTAGAGATATCAAGAGATGGATACTCTATCTTATCAGATACGGTATTGAACGGCTTTCGTATTTTGGTCTTGGCCACGCCATTTTTAAACGAATCATCAAATACTTCCAACGATACAAAAGAGACGAAGACGCAGTAGACGGACCATGTCCATATATGACTACTACAAGAGAAGACAGAGCTGAAGAAAAACCTAAAGAAAACAGTGCAGAATATGACTACCTCCAACACTTAGTCAAAACCAAATCTGCAAGAACAGTCCAAGAACTTGTCAATAAACTTGACGATGAGGAATACAAACAGCTATGGACCCGCACCAGAGGACAATATAAAGACAAACTCAGGGGAATACTAACTTACTACAACAACAAGAAAAAGTCGAACCAAAGCCAACTGTCACTCATTACAAACCTGCAAAATATATCAAAAAGGAAACCAGACTACGACAACATGCAGTGGATAAAGTACATGTTAGCCAACAACGACATCCGTGTACCAGAAATCTTAGCATGCAGTGAAAAGGANTATATTTGAATATATGTATATGTGGCTGTAAGTAGCCGAGTACATTACCTTCGGCGGAGGTATTAATGATAATAGTAATAAGAATGATAATAATTCTGCTGCTGCTGCTGTTTATGATGATTATTATGATGGTGATGATGACTGTGATAAGGATAATGATACTAAATATCATAATTATAATGGTAATAATAATGATGCTAATAATAATGATAATGGCAATGGTAATAATGACATTAATGATAATGAGGACGACAAAATGCCCTACAGTAATGATAATAATGATGGTACTGATAATACTAAGGATAATGTAATGATAATGTTGATGATTATGATAGAGTTGAACACAATGATAGTAATAATAATATAAACATGATGAATATAACAATATCAACATCAGTAGCAATAACAAAAAAGAACATGAAACAAACAACTATAACAATGATAATAATAATGGTGAAAATAATGATAATGATAATAACGATGATGATTATAACAACTATAACGACAGCATTAAACTTCCTGGAATCGAATGAAATAACATTATCAACGGTCAGGTTTGCAGGTCACATATCTTGCGCGGTTGGTCCGCTGGCAGCTCCCGTCGTGGAAGCCAGCGACGCAGGCCGTGCGTCAGGGGGAGCACCCATGCCTCATTTCCTCACCTATCTGTGTCACGACTCACGCCGGAAATGATATCATCACAAATAAACCACTTTAGAACTTTGCATTTTCTAAATAAACATGAGAGCGTTAAAAATACTAATGTAAAGGGAACGAAATATTTACCGTGCAGCCCATAAAAATGTATACGCCAGCACCCATACACAAAGATACTGGAGCAGGATTCGAGCTCAGTTCAGTGATAGTTTCGAAGGTTGGCTTCGTAAAGGCCCTACATAATGTTACCACTACATCACAACGGCCGCCATATATATATTATATATATATATATATATATATATATATATATATATATATATATATATATATATATATATATATATATATGAATGTATAAATATATAAATATGTTCATATAAATATATATGTATTCATATGTATATATATATAAATATATATACATATATGGGCCCCCGAGTACTGGGGGCGGAGGGGGATCTCCTCTGTCCTGCGTCTTCTCCTGTACCTATGTCTGCACGGTCTCTCCTGGTATGCCTGAAGAGACATACTTTTATCCAGCAACTCCTGTCCTGGGCAGGTACCTGCTTCTGACTGTTGGGGTGTCAGTTCTTCCAGCTGTGACAAAGGGCGTGTTCGCCGGCATTGCTCGAAGGGGAGAAAGTACTTGGGCGAACAAGGTGCAATGCCAGGAAGGAAGGCAGCAAGTAGGGCCTAGGTGCAAGGCAAACACCCATTCTGTTGAGCCACATTGTTGACATACTGCTAGTTAATCTTGCAACATTCAGTAGCAAGGAGGGTCATATTGTCTTCAGGGGCTGAGATATAAGTGTACCAGGCCAGTAAAAGGGGTAAGGAGGAGGAGGATAATTTACTTGCCAGTAACCTTACTAAGATGCCAGAAAATGAGTGTAATAAGAACATTTGTCATGAGAAAAGTAACATATCATATGAGAAGGTATTAATTACTCAGGATTTGTTAAGATTAGTGGGTTCAATAGAGTACCATTATTTTGCAGAGAGAAAAGTTGATGAGCATGATTTCCATATCTTCAGGCTAAATAGGCAAGTAAATATGATTTGGACATATGCAGGCAGCTTAGCCTAAACTTAAAGTAAACGTGAGCGTCTCGGGCGCTGTAAAAACGTAAGTGCTGCGGCGGCGCTTAATTCTTAGGCAGCTTAGCCTAAACAAGAATTAAATATGTGCATCTCAGGCGTGGTATGAACGTAAGTGCGAGTAACAACGTGCGGCGGAGCGCAATTTGTAGGCAGCTTGGCCTAAACAAGAGGTAACATGAGCGTCTTGGGTGCTGTATAACGTAAGTAAATAAAACATATGGCGGGCGCGATTTTTTTGTAGTAGATTCAACGGGCGACTGGGCACGATTTCTTCGTAGTAGTGGGCGCGATTCTTCACAGTAACATTTTTTCAGCCATAGTTACATGTTACATATTCACCAATACCTTAAAACTAAAGAAGCATAAATTCTAGCAGTACTAAGGACAAGATATCGAACACAGAGAGAAGACGTCATTAAATTGAGTTAGAATCAGTTATAAAATGTATGGTGAGTAAAAGGGGTGAGTAAAAGGGGCCATGGACATGTATGTGTGAATAAGCAAACAATTGCCGCGGCAAGTAAAAGGAAAGTAATTTTCAAAAGAACAAAGAACACAATGATATGTATAAGTTCCAAGAATGTAGTGAGGACACAAGCAGTAACGAAGTAATTACGAATAAACATATCATCTAAAAGAGATAAAGACAAGATAACGTAAATTCGGAAACAATAAACATGAAGGATATACATGGGAAGACCGAAACATTACAATGATTGAATAAATTGGTGTGGTTATTTGCTCTGAGAGAGAGAGAGAAAAAAATAAACTGTGCAATGTAAAGACAACAATAATACCATAGACTGAAAAACACAAATAACACAAAAATAATCATCAATTAAAGAATGGTTAAGGCAGGGGAATGAGGTAAGAAGAGTGATATCAGTGTGTGATTTCGTTTGCAAGTGTAGTTGACAATTATTAACAGTGAGAAATTTTGTAATATAGTTAGTAGTGTGTTCGTTAGAAAGGTATCGTTCAACTTATAATTAGGTGTGGGCAGGACAATAGTTAATCTGGCACTAAAGATGTACACTTACTCTTAAAAGTAGTAAGGAAGTATCAGTGGTGTAGTGAAGTGCGACATCATGCGTGTACTGACGAGGATTCGCAAAGACTTGGCGAGTTCGGTGGACTGGATTGGCGAGTTCGGTGGCGTAGAATGTGAGAATATATCTTTGGCAACTTCGTCACGAGGGTCCCAGAGGTGTGAGTAGTCAGTCATAAGTAGTGTGGCAGACATGGTGTGGGTAGGCATGGATCAAAGAAGACTTGGTAGCGATGGCTGGATGTTAAGGCAAGGAGGCACTTCGGCAGGAGCTTATCTTCTTAACAGGAATGTTCAGCATTGTGAGGTTCTTCCACCGCTAAGCCACTAGATGTAAGGAGTTGGGGCATAGAGTTGGTGGTGAATGAAAGGGTTCTTGGCTTGCTGGTTTATTAGGGGAGGAAAGGTGTGACCCCATGAGAGACCCTGTGCCCCAAGTGTCGAAGGCGGAGGGGGATTTCTTCTGTCCTGTGTCTGTTCCTGTGCTCCTGTCTGCATGGTCTCTCCTGGTCTGACTGATGAGACGTACTTTTATCCAGCAACTCCTGTCCTGGGCAGGTGCCTGCTTCTGAATTTTGGGGTGTCAGTTCTTCTGGCTGTGACAAAGGCGGTGAGTTCGCCAGAATTGCATGAGGGGGAGAAAGTACCTGGGCGAACAAGGTGAGATGCCATGAGGGAAGGCAGCAGGTAGGGCCTAGGTGTAAGGTTGACCTATATTTTTGACATATGTGTGATATATATATAATATATTATAATTATATATATATATATATATATATACATATATATATATATATTCCGTAATAGGCGTTGTATCATAAGGATGAACAGGTAGACTAACACAGTCGTGAAGAGTTTCACGTTTATTAAACGGTACCCATTATTTTTGTTTGATAAAAATTACTAATACTTTCCTTTGTAAAATATTCTCAGACCAACACACTGCCTCTACTGTTAAAAAAGACTATTTGTATGTTAAACTACCATATATGGGTAGTTTATGCTTTGAAATTAAGAAATAGCTAAAATCACTTGTAAAACTAAATTCACTTTCGTCTTCACCAGCACTAACAATATTGCCAAATTTCTAAAACAGCCAATGAGATGTAACTGATATGTGTTCTAACATAGTATATTTATTTACCTGTCCTTGCTGCCAAGCTCGGTATGTGGGATCTTAGAACACATAGGCATATCCGTCAGGACTGGCCTCCTTCTGGCTTCATTATTATGATCACTATCTTTAACCTTATCATGATCATCGTTATGACTATCATTATTGTCCTCATCTTACCATCCACACACATATAATATCACCATCATCACCCTCATCATTGGGGAGCTAACACCGACGGGAACGCATCCACCCTTCGCTTCCACCTGCGAGAATCCCTCGTTGTGAGCCACCAGATAGGTAGTTTCCTCATCTCGAGCTCCTCAGGACAGGTTTGATCATCTGCCTAAGCCAAGACTTATTAGATCATCCTACAGGCCTCCTCGATCGAGGGTTGTCTCGACAACCTGGTGGGCAGGAGCAACCCGTGGAAACGAGCCAGATAGCCTGAGTATACATTTATACGTACATATAAATATACATATATATATATATATAATATATATATATATATATTATATATGCATTTATACACATACACACACACAACACACATACACACATACACACACACACACACACACACACACACACACACACACACACACACACACACACACACACACACACACACACACACACACACCACACACACACACACACACACACACACACCACACACAACCACACACACACAAACTCACACACACCACACACACACACCACACACACACACAACACACACACACACACACACACACACACACACACACACATACATACATATCACATATATACACATATATATATATATAATATATATATATAATATATATATATATATATATATACACATATATATTAATAGAAATATATATAGATATATATGTATATATATATGTATATATATGTATATATATGTTATATATATATTATATATATATATATATAATATATTAATATATTATATATACAATATATATAAATATATATAAATAAATAAATAAATAGATAAATATATATAATATATATATATATAATATATATATATATATATATATATGTACATATATATATATTATATAT